TTATCTCCCTGAGCCTGGCCTTCATAAGTCCATTCCATCACACCCTAGCTCCTGGCCCTGCCACAGTAGCCGCCTTTCCTCTGCTTGAGATTTGGCTGTGTACGCTTTCTTACGTTAATTTTTCCTATGTTAATTTTTGAACCTCTGCTGCAGCATGTGCAGGGAGAAGCACAGGATGGCAAGGAACAAAACTACTTTCCTCCTAGAGAAAACCATCAGTTTCCCATGTCACGTGGTCTGCCAGAGAAATGATGTTCTTGCCTTATGAGGTATCATTCAGACTCTTCCATGAATGACTAGGTTTCTCCCAGTAAAGCAGGATGGGACTTCTAAATGAAAATGCTGCAGGAGATAAGAGCAGGTTTTTCCACAGGAACCAGTCCCACCTCCATCCCAAGCTCACCATGTCAATGACCATCTTGCGCAAGGTCTGTCGCTGTCGCTTGCTCAGGTTTTGGAAAATGTCACAGTTCTCTTCCTGCAACAGCTTGAAACCCACAGCTAGGTGATGGTTCTCCAGAACAGACTCATCATTGTACATCAGGGCCAGCTCTGAATCTGCAAGGGAGGGTCACAGATCACAAGAGAGTTATGGAGAATAGGAGGATTGTTTTATTTGCTCAGAGAAGCATGGCCAAAGGTGTTCCAAATGACTTACAGAACACAGCATATGATCTGTTTGTCTAATAAAAAAGCAAGCAGAAAAATATAACAGAATCCCATGAGAAATCAGCTCTTTCAAATCCAAAGGCCTGACAAAACAGAACAGCCTTTACAGAACAATTTCCCCCATTCTAGCGCATTCCAGATGTGCTGGAATGTTAACTCCTAGAATTCCTATTCAGTAGCTGATCTTTCTCTCTCCTTCCCTCTCACACACACATATGCTCACATACTTCTTCCACCTCTTTGCTCTTAAGAACCTTTCATTTCTTCTGTCTGTTCTTTGCACTTGATTATGGCTTGATGAAACACATCTCTACAACTCAGAGGTCAGGCAAATCCTACAGAAGCACAATCTCTACCAAAGAGAGCAGAACAAAACAACTTCATCAAGTTATTCTAGCTGGGAAATCTTTGGGTGGGAAAACAGCAGCACCTTTGAGTTCAGAAGTTCTTTATAAAGTTTAAGCAATTTGTGTCTTTCTGTAGATTTAGAGTTGCTTCTTGCTTCGTGCAACAGACTAGGAAAGTCATAGGCTCTTCTTTTTCCTCCCCATCCTCACTGCCAGCACTGTGTGCCCTTCCCCACTCCCAGTATCAGTACTTCTGCTTTCTTTTATCTGTAATATAATGAAAAAGTCCTTATGTACTGATGTAATACAGATGACTTAGCTACTTGTATCTCCATTTTGACAAAATAATGCCATTTTTACCATTTTGTTTTCTTCTATTTATACACAGTCCTGTGCTTTTCAGTATCCCAAAGTTCTAAACTGGGTTTATTCTATATTAAGTTGTCTACAACACTCATGCACTGGCACTTTGGCAAAGTACTGAGCATAAACAAGCTTGGTTAGTAGGACAAAAAGACCCCAGTGACAAAGAAAGATGGATTCTATTGTATTCTCATATGGTTTCCTTCCATCTGATGCTTATCTCTAACAGAGAACTCCATTTACTAAACTGTAGTACTAAACTATAGTTTAATATAGAACTAAAGAGTTTAAACTATAAATAGTATCAGAATAAATACACGGACTAATTCCTCTTTAGATTTAACTCATCAGTTTTCTTGACTGGGAGAAATTACTTTTCCAGGGCACACAACCTCCCTTGACATCTTCTGTATTGATTTTCCTTTGTTGGCTAAAGCTAATGAGGGAAATTCCATTGGACAATTATCTACTAGTCTGCTAGGCAGGGATGGGAATAGAGCAGGGTGACAGACAAGCTAGAAGTGCAAGGAAGTTAGGGACTTTTAGTTGGATTAGATGAGGGCAAACAGAAACTCAATCCAGGTAGGAGGAAGGTGCAAAAGGTAAATCAGGGAATAGAGGTTTAACCTGTCCTGGGAGTTTGCAGTATGGAGATATCCCTGGATTCGGTGCTGAATTTGGATGTCTAGTTTTCAGTGGTGACCAGAAATGCATTTTGCATTGCAAAATTAATTACACCTATTCTTGGAAATGTCAGATTTGAGTATAGTACCAGATCCCTTAGTTACATCCTGTTTAGGAGTATACTATTATACTATAGGCTATTTGTGATAAATATTCAGAAGCTTTATCTAATCCAGAATACTGTGGCCAGACAACTGATCAAGGCCTGTTGTAAGAAGCATGTGACTCTCTTGTACAAGAGAGTTTTAGGTCCACTGGCCACTGGTTTGTTTCTGGGCACAATTCAAAGACCCTGTTATGATGTAAATAACTATATGACTTGAGACCAGGCTTTTTGAAAGACCACATTGCCTCACAAGAATCTGTCCAGAAGTTCAGATCCTTGGGAGAGGCCATTTTCGCAGCTCAGCAACTGCTTAGAGGCCCATTTAGCATGAACACAAGAGAACATTCAGATTTCACCACCAATATTTGTGACTCCTTGCCACTCCCCCTTTGCACTTATGTTCAGTGTGCCGTCACTCACTGGTGTTGATCAGGAATTGGTTGGAGACACCAGGATGGTCCACATCATGAATGGCAGCAGCAAAGATTGCAGCCAAGATCTCCAGGTCAGTGAAGACAGCCTGTAAAGGAGAAAGGGAATGAATGCCTGGTGCCTCTGCCCTGTTTCATGGGAAAACTGTTGCCAACAAATGAAGAGGAATTAACTGGGGTTAGGATCTGGACCCCACAGATATGTGGGCTGCTGCCCTGGATGGTGATCCACTACTGCTCAGAGCAATTAATGAGCAATAGTAAGTATTTATAAAACTCCAGCAAGATTCAATGTTTGTAAGGTATAAAGAAGACTTGTAATTGAAGTCATAACAATCAGTCAATAATAAGTTAGTCTGCCTCCCACTGCTGTTCCAAACAGCACGGGGAAAAGTACAGAGAACTCCCTGTCCTTTGGAACTCTGGGAACCAGCCCTTCAGAGAGGGTGAAGCAAAGCCAGTATTTCCCTACCCACCAACTGCAGCAGATTATGACTTACATCCAAGGCTGGCGTAGACAGGAGGACATGTGTGGACTGGGTGACATCAGCAGCATGGAGGCTGTTGTGGTAGGCCACGTCAGCATGGTAGTGGTCTTCTAGCGTCATGATGTAAGTGACTAATGTGTCCACAGGGATCTTAAAAGTTTTCAGCAAGTCTCTTTCCTATGGGGAAAGAAAGAAGTGGTTGAAACTGTAAAGCTCACAGCTTCTTCTATGGATGCTGGCTCCTGAAAAATCAGCACTAGTCTCTCTGCCCTCCCCAATCATGGCTGGCACGCAAATGGCAGCCTCATTTGAAAAGAACTGTGAGACATACTCTTGTCTCCTAAGCAATAATCACAATATACCTGGAAATGATGAACAAGAGCTACCTCTATCACCATGAGTCTAGATCCACCCTTTTCATGAGTCACATAGGATTAACCAGACTCACTTCCTAGGCATCGTTATTACTTTGTGTTCATGTTCCCTCACTATGTAACGTGCTGTACACGAATAAAAGCAAAAATAGTCCTGCCGTCTCTCCCTAACTCTCACTCCCACTTAAATTTAGTGCTTTTGCAGATTCATGAAGGAATTTTCTGTGGAGATAAACTCCACAAGTGGGTGCCCTACAGATTTGTGAGGAATACACTGGCTATACTGGCTGGGAATGATGGGAGTTTTGGTCCAATCAGGGTGTCAAGTGAAAGAATTAATCATAAATGGATTATTTTTTGAAGGCACCTTCTCTCTACAGAGAGGACAGAACTACTGGTTGCAATTCTCATTACATTTCTCATTACGTTTTCCTACAGACTGTATGGAAAGAACCTGGAAGCCCCATCTCAGAGTGCAAGATGATATATTTCAGAAGTTGCAGCCGAACCTCAAATCAATGGCAGAAAACTTATTTCTTCTATAAAAATACTTAGGATGCTGCCTACAGAATAAATCATCCCTGTTTATATTGTTGCAGATGTTGCTTTTTGACTCAATTCTGTATCCAACTCAATATTTCTTGAAATAACAGAGAGAAAGTGAGTTTCTTAAAAAAAGCTCATACTTCAAAGTGATAGACTGTACAGTGCATTTGGAAAGTATTCAGATGAACTTTTTTTTTCTTTAAACACGAAAAAGCATTTCCCAAGCAGTGCAGCGTTTTGCAAACAACAGCAGAACAGAAGGTAACCCCCCCCCCCAATGTTCTAGTTGGGTGATTGGAGCCATCAGGATGATAAAGAAAAGGGAATAGCAGCAGTAGTTGTGCAGTGTGAATGTACTGTATATCATTCCCCAACCTCAGAATTACTATTGGACCAAACCAGACATGTGACTGAGATGTCTGTCCATATGCATGGCTAGCAGGGGAGGGAATAGGGGACTCTGCAAACCTTACCTGGAATATTGTATACATGATGCAGCTGAGCGACCGATTGTTGGAGTAGTCAGCAACCCGGAAAATGTTAAGGCCCCATTTGTTTAGGTATTCCAGTTCCTGGAGGAGGCACAGGGGAAGAGGTCAGTGAATCTTTGCCACAATGGATGTCAAGATAAAGGTCCAGGAGGACAGAGAGAGTAGCAGATGAAGAAAGCTAACCCACCATGTGTTTTCTTTGCTATGCCACTAGAATCTGAATTGGCATTTCAGATTTGGAACCTGAAGGCCATTCTTCAACAGCAAGATCAAGAAAACCCACTGAGAAAGCCCATGGCAATTAAGAATGTCATCTACTGTGAATACTCCATGAGAGTATCAAGCTCATTCTAAACTTTTATACACAAAACCAGGCAATATTTCTTTTACATTCATTAATTTCTAATGCTGAGATAAAAGAATCCTAAATAATCCAGTTCCACCAAGATTTTCTAAAATATTCTCACAGCTCAGAAACAAAACAGGAATCTCTTCTGAAGCTAAAAAACTAGGTTACATAATACTATCATACATCATAATTTCCCTCATTTGGAACACAATTTTCTGATAACCTTTGATTATATAGTTATGTATATCACCTAACAGCAAATACTTTCTAAAAAACTAATTATTCTTTTTAATTTTAGCATATATCCTGCTCTGCACTAGATGGGCATTATTCAAGGATTTCTTTTAGTTAACATAATTTGCAGTGATTTATGTGCAAGTTCTGTCTGGCTTATTCCTGGGTTGCATTTGAGCAATCAGTTCTCAGCTTAATAAAATGATATATGAATGAACAATTGCTTTGTTCCCTTTTTGTGCATGATGGAAAGCTAAATCTTCAGTTAAAAATATTTCCTGATATATTCCAGAATAGAGATGCATACATTCAAAAATACAGATGTCTTTTGAACAAGTCAAGATATTAAGCTAAAATCACACTATAGCTTCATATCTTGGTTGGTTTAGAGAGTACCAACCAGTTTCTTGGTTTGAAGAACATGAGGAGCTAAAACAAACATTTCCTAGTTTAATCACTCATTTGTATACAAGAAGGAACAAAGTAATTTCATTCAAAGTATGGTGCTTTTTCACATTTTTGCTCATTAATACAAGAAATGGTTGTCTGGGTGTGGCCACAGGACATGAACACTGCTATAATCTACAAGAAACAAGGTATAACGTGCTAGTACAAACAAGCAGACCAAAATAAGAAAAGGTAACCTTATACACCATGGCAATACAGAGAAAACACCAAGATTACTGTGATAATCATCAAATACATAAATTATAACAGACAATATTTTATAAAAACCCATTCAAAATTGTATGGGTTCAGTTCATAAAATGAAACTGCTACGTGGCAGTCTATTCTTATTTTTGAACTTAATATTTCAAAAATAATTTGTGTGAAGCTAGATAACTAATTAGATATGAACCAGTACACAGTTTACCTAAGAGTAGATGCTGGCAGCCTAATAAACTTATCGACTTGTCATATGACAGTGTTGGTCTTTCCTTGAAGGAAATTTAGAGAAATTGGTGGAACAGCTATAAAGACTCCAAATTTCTGCAAAGAAGTGTTTGTCTTGTTCATGCATAACATTTCTGGATTACAAGTTTCAGGCCTATACTCTTTCCTTCTCCCTGCACTTGGTTTAGCATTCTGATAACATTTTCAGTTTTGGATGTCACTGGCAGTTACGGTGAAAAGACTTAGCCAAAGCCAGGAACAGAAGGGATGGTTCCCTGTTTAATGAATTATGGTTTATTAATACAATTAAGTGACTTCTGAAACTGGTCTTTTTCTATCATTTCAGGATAACAAATAGTACCATCTTGATGGATCCTTATCAAGCCCTGGGATTTATCAGGCACCACCTTACCAAAGTCAACTGTACTTGTCTGGTCCAATCATCTCAAGAAGGTCTACTGAGAGTCCCTCATCTGTGAGGTTCATGGATCTTGGACAAGCTGGCCGGCTTTCTCTTGAAAGCCCCTCTAATTTGGGATATGCTTCCCCCAGAGGCCCAAATGGCATCTTCTCTAGCAAAAACTGTTAAACTGTTTTTATGCCATCAATCGTTCAGCTCCACTTTATTGGCTATGAGTGCTCTATTTGTTTTTATGCACTTAGGTGTTTGTCTGTATCATTTATTTTTCTGTAGCCATGGTTCTTTTTTATTGTTTTTTCCTTTGTTATAAATCGCCTCAGGTAATTTGTTTAGAATAGTCAACAAAAAAATAAATAAGAACAAATATCTTCTTGTGCTGGAGAAATATGCCAAAAGTTTAAACCCAAATGGAATAGGAATATACTAACTCAGTGATGGCTAAATGTTTTTTGTCAAATGTGCTATAATTATGAGGAAGTGACACTCTAGTACCAGTACAATATCCTGTTTGGAGGGAAATACTGGCTCGAAGACAAAAACAAACTGAGATGAAAATACTTCTGTATCTTGTCAAAGGCAGAAGTTGCCTCTGAGATCAAGCTCAACAAAATGTATTAAGGCTGCCACTCTCCTCAGAGTCTAGAGAGAGACTGTTAAAGTGTGAGCCGCAATTTCCAAATCATCCTTTGCAAAGATGGGCAAACTTCCTTCACTACCCCCCCACACACTTCCTTCCATTTTGCAATGCTCACCTTACTGAGCAACTCTTCCTGGTCTGTTTTCACCCCAAAGCGGGGAATGCTGGAATTGGTCAGGCTGGAACTGTGCATGAGTTTCTTGACCCCACTGATCTGGCACATGGGTTGCTGCCGCTTCTTCTTCTCCCGGTCTTTCTGTGTTGGGGATGGGATCTCCACATCGTTCTGCTTGTCTGAGGATGAAAAGAGACTGCATCTGAGAGAGAAATGACAAGGGCAAAAAACTGAAGGAGCACTACCTCACCTAAGAAGTAGCCTCTCTGGACCAAGTGTCATGACTGATGACACAGGTACTGTATCTCCCTCCATCCCTCATTCAAACAATTTTGCTCCCCTTGATGAAACTACATTTCTATCTCAAAGATGCCAGGAATGAAAGCTCAGAATTTATGGAGCAAAAGGAATTTTAACCTAATTCCTGGTAGCTAAAGTTCTCATAAGTCAGGATACTGCAAGAATTGTTGGGACTCAGGTTGGATATAGTCCTAAAGCTTCTTAGTACTTATTAGAGACTTAGGAGGTGCTTTTATTGTGCAATTGTCCTACTTTATTCATCTTTTTCAGATATCCTTTTCCCTTTGTTGCCCTCATGCCCCCCCCTTATTTTAAAGGTAGAATAGCCTCTGATTGTGCTATTATTGATTGATTGAATATGATTGTGCTTCAAGGTATATGGAGCCTCCAGTTTTCTATAATCCAGACATTTAGTCCTGTCTCATCATGAGTTCTGGCTGTTCTAATTTTGCAGGATTCAAAAAAGAAAAAAAGAAAACTATCCAAATGCTTTTTGTGTGTCTTATAAGTACTTATTGGACAGTACCAATAACCTGGGCAATTAAACAGCTATTTCTATTTATTTTTTAAATTACTATAATAAAATGGTTATTATTAATACCAGCAGTAGCATGAAAGGATGCTCACCTGCATGAGCACTGATATTTATCAGTATTTATGTTCTTTATAAAGTGTTCTCAACAACAATGCCATTCTGAGGCTCTTCTTTTATCAACATACATTCCACCTTCTAGAGGACTTCTGTTTGTACACATATAATTAAAGAAGTAACAAAAAAGTGCTCAGGGTCAGAATCACAAAGCACATCCCCCTTTCTAATGAACAAACCAGTCGAACAGAATTTAGCCATCATCTTAATTCTGTCCCTGACTGTAGTCTTTTACTTTTCCTAGACAAATGAATAGCTGCCATTACTCCTTTAGAGGAAGAAAGGGAGAAATATAATGCTGGACATTTAGGCCAATGTGGTGAAAACAATCTTGCTCACTCTCCATAGCAACTCTGAGATGGATGGCAATATTACTTCTTCCACTTTCCCTCCCCTGAAGATACTTCAGGCTCATGAAGCTGAAAGGGGAAATGTGTTTCCAGTTTAGGTTTCTAAACTGGAAGACTTAAAGTAAAATGTAGAGCAGTTTGGGGAGAGACTCACCCTCAGGAGTGGAGGGTCTTGTTCCCCCACCTTCTTCTAGGACCGTCTCCAAGGGCAAGAAGTCACGTGTGGGTGGCACCCACTGGGAGTAGAGAGGAGGGGGAGGAGATAGTCTGCCAAGGGGGAGGTGGCGTACACTGGGGGAGCCTAGGGGAGGGAGAAAATGGGGAGGGCGCAGTGTGACAGGGAACTGGGAGGGAGTCACATCATGGCATGGCAGAGCTATGCCCCAATGGTACCTGCGGGAGAAGCAGCGGCAGGGGGGCCTCATGGCAGAGTGGAAGGGGCGGGCAACAGGCCCTAGGAGGAAGCAGGGCATAAGCCATGGTACCATTCTAGAGTGCTGGGTTCTGAGTTACTAGGAAGAAGGATTGTGACAACAGAGAATATTCAAGCCAACCGCCATACTGCTGAACTCTTTCAAATACTGCTGTTAACAGAGTCCCTAATATTCCCCATCATCTTGCAAAAAAACAAAACAAAAAAAAACCCCAACCAACAACAAAGCTCTCCATCTTCTCCCATGTTCACCTGGTAAGGCTTTGAATAACTTTGGAACCAGTGTTCTACCATGTTTGACAAAGCAGGGGGACATCTCTTGCTCAGGCTAAGATGGTACTCAGGCTCTGGAAGTTGATCTGTAGAAAGAACTAGCTTTCCTGGGGCAGCACAACAGCTCAAGTTCATCTGCATTTTCCTCTGTGGGGTAGCCTCATATATGATCAAGCAGATTCAAGGATTTGCCTGGGAGCTTGAGGAACTGGAGGAATAGGCTGCCTCAGTATCATGGAATTCCATCATCCCAGGACAGTTCATGGGTCTGAGGTAAGTGGACATCTGTGGGTGTGTATCTTTATGGCTGAGGCAAATTCCAAAGAAAAAGTTGAGAATAAGCCCAAGAGTTCTGACTCCTTTCCTTTCCTATTCCAAAGAAAAAGTTGGGAATAAACCCAAGAATTCTGACTCCTTTCCTTTCCTTTCCTCACCTCAACCAACAAACTCTGCTTCCAGCCCTCAGCCACAAATGACCAGTCACTCTGGCCATTTCCTACCAATCACTTGATTCTGCTTTGGTGCCATAGCCAAGAATGGAATCCAAGTGTCCAGAGGTTCCCAGGCTGGCCTACCAAACACAACTTCTTCTGCCAATGGAGAAACAGCTCCAGAATCCCAAAGTCTGGGGCCAGACTAGTTAAACTAGACCGGGTGCTCCCCATCTGCTCATTATCTGAAAAACTCTCTCTCCACAGCAATTCCATACTGGAAAGATTTCTCTTGGTGGTGGTGGTGGTGGTGGTGGGTCAACCAACTAAGCTCAGTAATGGGATTTCACGTTCTCTGCCTTTTTGATCTCTTTTGCACCACTGTGGCCTGGCACTGCCCCATCACATGACCTTGGCAGGCCATGCCACAGCTGCTCAGGAGGAGCAGGGAGGGTGAATTCTGGCCCCTGCTCAACTGATACTTGGCCTCCGCTTTCAGCCCATGTTCCAGCTCTTACACAAGGCCTCCATTGAAGTGGTAGTTTGCATCAACATTTGCTTAAGGCTGGGTATTTGCATCCGCTGACGTCAATGGGAGGCCTGGTTTCTGGAGAACCCAGTGGACAGGAGGCACCCAAGAGTTTGCTTCGCATGACTGCAGTTCTTGGCTATCCTGTCTAGTTCAGGAAGTCTGCAGCTCTTGGGGGAGACATACATGATGAAGCTTCTGCACACAAATGTAGTACTTATTTCCTCATTTTTATGTAAACACAATGTTTACACACATTATGGAGATTGGAAGGGAACAACCTGCTTAGATTTGTGTGCATAAGATGATGAACTGCCTGATAGGCTAATCCTATATTTTGTTAGGTTTACTTGCAGAATAAGTCATGCTAAGATTTGCTGTCAAGTAAATATACACAAGAATGAAGCTACAGGCTGCATCCTTATGCTCATTTATATGGCAGTAAGTTCCAGTAATTTCAGTGGAGCTTACTTTGGAGAAAACATCTTCCAGATTGCTTTGCTTGTCTCTGAATGGAAAAAGCATGGCATGATCCAACAGTGAAATCCAGGAACCTGAATTCCTGGACATAATCTATATACCAAATAGGAATTGGAAACTGAAAATGTTGTTGCAGATTCAGATTATCTCATATTAAGCAGAGACCACATCCTAACTTTCTGGTTCTAACATTTATATTATGTCTACAACGTGGGGCCTTCCAGAATTCCCAGCCAACCGACCCTCAATTTCCTACTGATGCTACTATGATTGTCACAAGTGTGCTTGGAAGACAACACTGGACAAGAGTTATCCCGGTGCCCAAACACCTCTGTACTTCTGCTATCTTACCAAACATTTACTTAGCAGGTAGTCAGGGGAGCAAGTGGAAAGGGGAGGGAGGAACCTGAGGGCCCAGTCTTTCTTCTTGCCTAACACCCAGCGATTGGCACTCTGGGATAGGTACAAATGGATCTGCAGAGCAGCACAATTTGAACCTCATTCCTCCTGTAAGCTGGAGGAGAAAGTGTGTGTCCATGAGTGTACGAAGAGGCAGGGGAAAAGCTGTGCCTGTTTCGGTTTCCTCACATGAATGTGCCTGGTGCTATCCATACCTTCCCAACAATGCTTTAGCAGTGAGAGAGGAAGGACTGCTAACAATTTTCAGCTTGTCTCTTTGGTAGATTTTTCCCCCCAGTGGGCTTTCTTCTTTTCGAATGACTTCAGCCAATCAGATTTGGCTATAAGATGACATCAATAAGGGCAAACAAAGCCAAAGCTTTGGCCTCAGTTTAAGCTGGTGAAGGGAGGGTGGGAATCTCCCTGTTGCCAAGGCAACCATGCTGCCTCAGCACTTGGGATGCTCCTTGTCTTTCGCTACAACACTTCACATACTGCGGAGAGCGTCACAGAAGCACACCTGCCTGTAGATGTTCCCTGTTCTCATGATATTACTTTCGATGGGACGTGCATTGGAACACGCAACCTCAGGCACATTTGCATAGGATGAGTCATGAGGAAACAAACTGCACTGGGGCTAAGGACCATCACTTATTCCTCCCACGGTGAATATTTTTGTCCTCGTCCAAACTGTTCTTCCCAACCTCTGAGATGGGGGGCTTTCGGGATATGCATGAGGAAACATTAAATGGAACTGAACTTCCATTTTGGCTTAATTCTAAGGAAATAATATAATAATAGCCCTGAATGAAAGGCAGACAGGTTTCAGAGAATCAGACTAATTCATTGTTAGATTTGGAAGAAGAACATATAAGAATTGGTAATTATGGTTTTTTAAATTACAGTCCAGATAAATTATCAAAGTTTAAAAACCTATAGGCATTACTATCAGCGTTTATAACAATACAGTAAAATTACATTCCTGCTTTGGAAGAGTGGATTTGTTTTAATAAAAACTGGGCTACCATTTTTTAAATGCAATGGATTAAAAACACACATTTGTATTTATCCAACAAAAATTTGAATCCTCACAGAACTTTTATCAGATCTTATACTCAAAATATAGTTTCACATTATTATAAAATCAGGTATTTATGTAATTTCTTATTTAAGTTATTTTTTCATGGGTCCTTTTCTTGGGGAACAGTTTAAGAAACTGTGAGAGCCAAATTGCGTGATCATTACGAGCAATGAGAAGAAAGGCTAGTGCCAATTATATTTTGTATATCTTGTTCTGCCTTACTACACAAAAAATATAAGTCAATCGTGAACCCTAAAAAGAATGTTTTCTTTTTAGCAATCTGCCTGATTATATTTGATTGGAAGAATAATGTAGAAGAGATACTGTTTTACAATATTGCATAACACTGTTTTTAAATAATGTACATGGATTGTAGGTGCAGAAGAGCCTTGGCAATTTAAAAAAACACAGTTCCATTACACTCACCTAAAAAGGTGTTGGAAATGTACTCAGACACCTGGTTTCCAGAACGGCTCATTTCAGAGAGGTGGGTTAATTCACGGTTCAGCATTCTTTTGAACTGTCAGAGACACATACAAAAAAAAAATGAAATAATTAATATCTATTTTCTGTCCATGCCCTAGTAAGAATGGATGGGCACAAGTGCATACTTCTCCTTGAATAAGCAGTTGCGTACAAGAACAACCTCATGAATGAGGATAAACTGACATATCGCTTCAATGTGTATGGGCATGGAGACAAACTTAAGAGAAGGAGAATGGCTACAAGCTGGTACTGACGAGTTGAAGTATATTAATAAAACATACATACTATACTTTGAATCTGTGTTAATTTAATGCACGCTGGAATACTCTGTAACTTGGGAATTCTATAACATGCAAGGGTTCTTCAGCAGAATGCTGCCTAAAAAAGGTCCCCTTAATAATATGAAGTTCTCAAATAATTTCTATTACAAATTTATGGATATTTATGTTTACATGTCTTGCATGTTCAGATTCAGATTTTTCTGCATCCAGAAGCACCATATGTGGACACAGTTGCAGACTGCCTCAAATGCAAAAACGTACTTCTCTAAATGTATAATTCTTTGTTACACAATCATGAGAATGCTCACATTTTTATGAAGGCATCTACTCTGCCATATCTGTGAACATAGATATGAATTGTCTTGTGATGATTTATGCAGTTCTGAACTGGAAGATGAATTTTCCCAATCTCATGCCTGAACACCTGAACTGGAAGATGAATTTTCCGAACCTCATGCCTAACAGATATGCACTCTACAACTCCCATCTCAAACAACTCAGGGCAGAGTACAATCAAAGCAACAATAACACTAAAAAACAATAATAAAATATAATAAATTATGCCAGAGGCAATTCAGTAATTGAGACAGTCCATCCAGATGGCCTCCCAAAGCCTCCTGACCCAAAGTCTGGAGGAAAACCAGGTCTTCAAGGCATTACAAAAGGCAGACATACAAGGATGGGGCCATCTGAATCTTGGGGGAAGTAGCACTCCATAGGGCATGTGCAGTGACAGAGAAGGCATGACTCCTGGCTCCATAAGATGACATTGCTTAAGAAATGGGACCCAGTGCATGCCAACCCTGTCAGATCTTTTCAGATAGACAGAGATAATTGGCTACAGATAATCCCACAAATAACTAGGCCAACTAGGCCTTGTGCCATTAAGGGCTCTGAAGGTGATAACCAGGTGATAATTGCACCTGGAAGCCCACTAGTATAGTATAGTACAGTACAGTATAGTATAGCTCATGAAGAAAGTGTTACATGGGTGTACTGAGATCTATCCATAACTACCTGTACTGCTGCATTCCAGACCAGCTGTAGCTTCTGAGTGATCTTCAAGAGCAGCCCCATGTGGAGCACTTTATAGTAATTCAGACAAGAGATAACCCAAGCGTGGGTGACTAGGAGTAGGAACTCCTGATCAAGAATGGACACAACAGGCATCCAAGATGAATTTGTACAGTGGCCCTCAGAGCCACCATGGCTGCCATCTGCTTTTCAAGTAGGAGCCATGAATCTAGGATGCCCAGATTATACACCAGGTCTGTCTGGGGGAGTGCAACTAGAACTAAAAGTGGAACATCTCTGGATCCAGGAGGTCTCAAAATCCACAGCCTCTTGGTCTTGCTAAGGATGAGCCTAAGTTCTTCCCTATTTAGAGCCCCATACCTTCCAGACACCATGTCAGAACACTGACAGCATCATTTGGACAACTAAGATGTATAATTGGATATCGTCAGCATACTGATGATAGCTAATCCCATGCTGATGGATGACCTCACCCACCAGCCTCACATAGATGTTAAACAAGAGCAGCAATTAGGACCAAGCCCTGAGGCATCCCTCAAAATAAGGGTTGAAGGCTCCCCCTCCCCTCCCCTCCCCTCCCCTGATCAATATTGACTGGAACTGGCCCAGGAGGAAGCAGGAGAACCACTGTATCTCCCACTCCCACCCCTTTGAGTTAATCCAATCAGCAGGATATATCAAAGGCCCAAATACCATTCCACTAATCAAGAAATCTATGTGTTTTGTCTGAGGATGGTACTTACAGTATTTTATGACCTTGAATTGAAGTGGTTAACGAATGGTAATGTCCTAATGAGGATTTTGGAATCCTCCTACTGATACACTGCTATAAATCAATACTTTCCCAACCTGTTGGACTATGATTCCCATCATCTTCATATACAACACATATGGCTAAGCTGACTTGGCAATGTGAAGCATTTTAATCTAAAACATTTGGAGGGCAACATATTAGGAAAGACTGTGTATATTATTATAAACAACTAGGAAAAACACATAATGTTCTTAAAATACACTACTTACTTTACAATTTGATCTTAATTACATATCAAAAACATGCCTTTAATTTTTAAAAAAATCTCGAGGTTTTCCCAAGTGAAATGATACCATAGCCATTTAAAAGAAATTGAACATGTGTATGTCCCACTTTTAAACAGAGGTCTCCATGGGTGTTGCCTTCACTACAATCTTATTCCCCTTAAGACCAACCTTATTGTGAATGTAACTACATTATTCACCCATGAGTACTTCTGCTTTCGCCACTATACATTTGCTAGTCAGCTCATACAATATTGTGGCTCAAACAACATCTGGGCTGCCAGGGTCCATGGACCATTAAAAGATAGCAAAGAGATAACAGAAAACACAAACTCGTTGCTCCCATCTTGTGGCCCTCTAGATTTTTGCAGCCTAGCCCTAAATTAGACAGATAAAGAAGAGTTGAGTTTGCAGTAGCTCTTGGCAACTTAAGGGACCAAAAAGTTTCTGACTATATGCTATGCTAGCACCATCCATGTCTGATTAAGCAGGGAATTGTAAGAAACCAGCCGGACCAGAAGAGATACCTTTTCACATGTATTGATGTGAATGAGTCAAAAGGTACTCAGCTCTTCTTCCCAATCCCCTAAACAATGCTTTTATGACAAGTTTGTTCCCTACACTGAAAAATCAGAGATGCATTTATAAATATAATTACTGAGGAATAATTTTCAATGAATATGGCAGGATTTATTTCTCTTTCTCCATAAGACACGAAGTAACTATCATAGCTGCAGGCTACCTCCACTTTTCATGGTCAAAGACCATAATCTCTGGCTTCTTCCTATAGAGGGAGGGGAGGGCAAACACCTCAAAAGATTACCATATCCTCATCCAGTAACTCATTAGGATGTGGTTTATTGTGAGTGAATACTATTGAGATAGACATCTGGTAAAAAGTTAGAGTGGACAAAGAGTGCTGGTAGGAAAAAGTTGGATTTCTTAAAACGTCTTTGTTCTCAACCCTTCATTAATCTTCAACATATTCTACTTGTGGAATTTCTGCCCATTTATTAATACTATTTAAATAATTTTTGCTCCAACCTGACCAAAAGCTGCAAGTGGCTTACAAGCCACTGCTGCTCTCAAAATCTAGCCTTCATTCTTAACATCCTTATGCATGGCTCTCGGGTAGTTCTTTCCTTCCATACTTGCTGGCTTTGTCCTTTCTCTGATTCTTTCCCATGAAACAGAGTTTAGCAAAGCTTGGGCTGGATACAGCTTAGTGTCCCTTTTCCTCCTCCCTTCTGGTACAACATTTTGTTTCTCTCTGTGGTTTGCAAGAAATTGCAGTCATTCTCCATCTTATGAAGGTACTTTTTGTTCACTGCCTCTCCTGTCTGAATCCTTGCTTTTGCCAAGCCCACATCCTCTCCTGCAGCAGATGTTTTCTCTTTACCCTGCCAAAATCTAGACAAAATGAGGGCCAATACTGTTGAACTTCCCATTGGCTCAACTAAATTCTAACATCATGGCTGTGTTTGGACACAGTTTAACTTAACTATGGGTTTCTCAACCCAATTTTCTGGGTTCACGTGATATAATAAACAATAAGGAAACGACAAAAATGCATCATATCCTAGATTACAGTATGGCTATTCTCTAGTGATATCTCTTGTGAAGAACCATGGCCCAAAGATGCTGAATTATTCCATCTCATCTCATCCCATCCCATCCCATCCCATCCCATCCCATCCCATCCCATCCCATCCCATCCCATCCCATCCCATCCCATCCCATCCTCTCCTGGAAGAATTGCAATAGTTTTTCAGTACCTCTTTTCCATGACTCTTATAAAAATCTAGCTGCCAACCTAAAAAATGGAAGCACCATTCCTGGGTCAGAATAGGTGTTTTTAGAATGCTAACCTGAACTCTAAAGAGCTGAGGATTTTTAATGTGAGAACCTCCTAAAGAAATCCGATAGGAAGGAGGAATTTGAGCTTGCTGGTTATGGGTGGAAATAGCTAATAATCAACTCAGAGCAGTTTTGGAGTTGAGTGACATAGAAATACCACAAACAAACAAACAAACAAACAATGCATGGTGACAGATCTTCACCCTCATGGATGGGCTCACTAAGATTAGTGTGTGTTTGTTTTTGGGAGGGGAGAGTCAAACAATATCTGATAATTCTGCATCAGAACAATTTTTAACTGACCTTATTTAGGACCTTGGCATTATTTGGCTCTAAATAAAACAAATTCCATTTTCCAAAGTTGTATCAAAGCAGAAAGTATATAGGATAAATGGACAAGCTTGCTTTTACAGTTTGATGCTTGATATTGCTCTCTTTTTAAAAACCCCTTTGTCCTTGAGAAAACTCCCGGATGCTGCTCCCTGGCAGGAGAGCTGAGGTGAGTCATCGACTAGGCTTGTTAGCTGAGACATGCCTCTCCATCACGCCAGCCAGCCTCAGAAAGAATGAAAGGGAAAAGCTCCCTTCTAAGACCTGGGAAGGCTTCCAGTGGTGCTTCAACTGCCCTTCATTAAGGGCAAGATGACTTGATGGAGAATCCTAATCCAAAGCCTGGACGTCTTTCATTCTAGGGCAACAAACTTCTTCCTCTGCCTGGACTCTCCCAAGCAGTCCATGTGGCAATCCTGCTGTTTCCCAATTTAAACTTGGTCTGTTTGTTCTTAAGGAGCATTTGTGAGATCAAAATGCTACCCTGAGCTTC